TATGAATAAACTGATCTTCAATCAAAATAAATTGTTTCAAGAGTATACAGTTGAATCATAGAAGCTAATCTGGATGTGAAACAGTTAAAAGTTTATAATCAGTAATTAATCTACAGGGTACCATTCCATTGATAGGACTGGAGAAATTCTCTACAAGGGTTTTCAAAATTCCTGACTTGCTGCTATAAAGTTATTTAGAAATAAGTGTATGAAAGAGAACTGATATTATATGGAGTGGGGGGGGGGCAACATAATAATAGTTAGGTTGACAAATACAGAAGACTTGGTAATATGTTGATGCTAGGGTCTCTGTATGAACTAAATATTTGCATGACTGTTCAAAAATATTGGTAGAGACAAGCATTCAAGATTGTTTCTCATGTGATCTCTCTCTGTGTCCCTTTCTCTCACACACAGACACACACACAAAGACCTATTATTCCAGTAGTGGCCTACCTATTATCTCCTTAAGGATTCTTTCCCAGCATCTACAATACAGAGCAGAAGTCTTGACTCCACTGGGTCTCCAACAGATAGCTTGTTGACTGTTAGTAACTTGTGGGGATGATGGCCAGTAGCTTGCCTGGATGACCATCAAGGAAAGCTGGAGCAGCAGCTTTCAAAACAATAAAATATTTCCTTGCAAAAATTAATCTTATTCTGAGAGGGGAAAACATTATCAATCATCTACTGGAGAATTGAGCTTTTTGGTTTATACTGGTTCTTCTCTCTCCAAGCAGTCTCTTACATAACTTTCTGTGCAAGATTCTGGTAGCAGCTCCAACAAATGTGTTCCTTTTCATATTATCTTATCATCCCAGTTTATGCTTGTTCTTTCATTCAGCGTTACCACTGATAAATACTCTTACTATGTCTCTGCTTGTAAGCTCTAGCGCTACTTAGATATTCCATGCAGATTGTCAGGTGCAAAAAGGAAGGGAACAGAGTTTGGAAGCCAAGCCTAGTTAAGAGAGATAAATCTTAATTTTCAGGGAATGCATGGATGAGGAGAACCTATGTTCAGGACTGATTTGTAATAACTGAATGTGCAATACAGTACCACAATTCTGCTAGATAATATGTGGCAAGGAAAATGATCTGCCCTTGCTGACATTAATGCAGGAGCAGGTCCTTTTAAAGAAAGACAAAACGTAACAATACATGGTGTTATGTTTTTTAATGAATTAAAGGACAGTTTTCTTTACATTTGTTTTTCATTCACTTCATGTACAGTGACATTGTTCCAGAAACTGGTGATTGGTAAAACCTGGTATTATAAATGCCCAACATAATTTTTATTAAGCCATGCATGCTTGATATATAGTATGCTTTTAGTAGCTCAGAAAATTATTTTATTTATATGCTAACTTTCTGTGCAAAAAGAACACTCCAGTAGTAAACACTAGTCATTTTCAATCTATCACAAGAAGCTCTTGTTAACAAAAAAGCTGGAAAGCTCTGATACAGAGGCAGAATTCTTTTGAACACTATATTTTGCATTTCAGACTAGCTATAATTTCAAATCTTGGTTGTGAATGTTTGGGGGCATCTGGTTGGCTGCTGCTTTAAGAAGAGGATGCTGAAATTTGGTCTAACCTAAAGTATAGTTCTTATAGTTTAATAGCATCTGCATACAATTAATGAAGCCTTGTGTATTTTACTGTTTGTATATAACTAAATCAGGAAGGTCCATCTGTTGTAAGTATTCTGGAATAAAATACATGAGACAATGCATACCCAGGACACTGCCCCATTCACTGCTGTATGTGGAATGGCTCTTTCATACAATGCAATTGACTGCTAAAAAGATATCAAAGGAAAAATAAAGGTCAGCCTTGTCTTGTCTGTTTAGCTGCCAGTCCAAATCTTGGAAAAATTCATATATCAATGGCAGTTATGTGTTATTTCTAACATAGGCATGGCAGATGAAGCTACCAATGATAATTACGGATATATAGTATCTCCAATCAGAAGCCAGTGGACCCATCAGTACTAGCTGGTGAACATAGAGCTGTCAGGCTCACAGTCCTGGTTGCATTAGACTGCAAAATGTAGCAACAGAGTTCTGAAACAGATAAAACTCTGGTTTGACACAATACAAAGGCATGCTCTAATTCTTCTCTTCATCATTTCTAAGAGACTTATTATAGAGGAAAGAACCACCTTCTTATTGAAGTATCAACTGAAGAACAACAGAGCATTACATACATTTTGTATGAGGAGGATTTTTATTTAAATACACACACACACTGAATGCTAGCACTGAAGTAACAGAAACTGGGAAATTCAAAAATTGCATAACACTGAACATGTAAGTGGTCAGTATTGTTATTAATAATAAAAAACCACTACTGAGTATCTTTAGAAATGCTATTTATTAAAGAAAGCTTAATATCTTAATCTTGCAAATTTTGCATAGCTCAGCTGCAAAAAAAAAGAAATGTTTTACAATTTGATTTGAAATTTCAATTTTCCCTTTATAAATTACTGAATCTCAACAAATCATATTTTCTTTCCAAAATACCTTATATTGAGAAAAAATAATTTATTTCAGAATATAAATTAATAAAGTAGCAGCCTTTACAATATTCTTTCTCTTCACTCTGAAGTCCAACATATCCCTTCCGTAATATTTATAAGGCAAGTGTAATTCCTTGTATTGCACTGACATACATTTCCCACTTACGTTCAGTTCAGACTTTCCATGTTCCCATGGTAGTCTCAACAAGACATTTTATACAATAATAGCCAATATATAAAGACTATGTCCTGCTTCATCTATCCCATCTTAGCTTCCCCTCCATAGTTCCTTAAATGTGCTTCATTTAAACAATACCTAAAATGCATATTTTTCTGGGAAAGACTGTAACACTGGGAAAGATGGAAGTAAAGAGGAGAAGAGGATGACCAGCAGCAAGGTGGATGGACTCAGTTACAGTGGTGATGGGTGCACTGTTGGAAGAGCTGAAGGACCATGTTAGGGATAGATCGTCATGGAGATAATCTATCCATGTCGTCACTAAGAGTTGACAATGACTTGATGGCAATCAAACTGCAAACTGGAATTGCACTGACTTTATCCAACCCAAACAGCCAAAAAGCACCCAATTTAGATATCAAGAAACAACAGAGGTTTAAATAGCTTACTACATGTACTTTTTATAAGAAATTTCCTATTTATGTTGTGATATTAGTTCTTTCTTAGCAGTATTAGAATTGATATAAACCTACATCCACATGTCTCACTTTTAGAGTGATTTTCCCCCCCTTCATTTAAGTAGGCACACTCTGCTCATGCTCAAAATATTAGCATTTTCCAAAGCTGAACTTGGCCACTGAAAGACCTACTGGACCTATTTCCCTTACCTTCATTTCTGGTCATTCTTACCCTCTATTCATTTACCGATTTTCCTTTTTTGAGAACCTTTTTAGAAATCAGATTTGTTTTGGCAGGACAATGGAATAACAGTCCTAGGCCTCACGCCTAGAGGAAGTCACATCAACAACGACAAACTTTACCTTCATCTGAGAAAAAATGACAGTGACACAGAAGCAGCAAAAAGAATATTCAGCTCCTAGCTGTTTGCTTCTGACTAGTAAAGCTTGCTCCTAAATGCCACATGACTGCAGACTGTTTGATATTGGCCAACTAGTATGTAGAATCATGATTAAATGTGTGTGTACTAATGCTAGCATTGGATTAGAGCTAAGAAAACACAGGTTCAAGTGCTCCTAAGCCATGAAATTGTATTGGGTATTATTGGCCAGTCATTGTCTCAGGCCAGCCTACCTCTCTCTTAGAGGAAACTTGGAAGAAATAGTCCTACATACAACACTGAGTCACTAATGAAAAGAAAGAATGTCAGTCTAATAAATCGATTCAATAAAATCCTGGCATAGAAGAGAGAATGCTCACATTATTGTAAGAGAAACTTGTCTTTATTCATCCCAGCAGCTAAAGGACCACTTTCAGTATCAGTGAACATGCCATCTGAAATACAAATACTTTCACTTTTTTTTTTTTGCCTTTTCAGTTTGAAATGGCCTTTTTCTAAACAATGCAAGGATGAGAAACCCGATCATATTCCCACAATATTTTGTATTCCTCATCAAAGACTGCTGCCACATTTCCCCAGCGGACCTTTTATGTCTTTAACAGTTGTAAATCATGATGTATTAAGGCTGCCATGTACAGGCTGAGACTGTTCCTGGAACAGAGAGGAAGTTATGGGGGAAGCTTCACCAGTTGCATATCAGTCTCTGACACCCCTCTAGAAGACTCTGTGACTTACTAAAAAGAAAAGGTTGCAACTGTATGAACTGGATGCATCATTTAGGGAAGGCCTAGCCATGTGCTCCAGAAAGGAGTAGCGCCTTGTAGTTTACACAGGAATGAGGAAGTAGAAAGTTCTGTTGAACTCACACACACGCACACACACACAAAGGCACAGACAAGCAATGTGACAAAATACAACATTCTTTACTCAAAGCGTTAATGCGTTTGAGCTCAGGTCATCTACAACTAAAAAAAAGTTGGTGCCAGGTCTAAAACCATTCACACCCTAGATTTAAACCTACTGAACTCCCTCCCACCCCACAACCCGTTGCTAAGGCGATGTCTGTAAAATCCATAGGGGCAAATACAAAGGCATAGACACAAAGCAGCCTTGTCAACTGCGTTTAAGGATGCGCCGATTTACTGCGGCATCAGGTTTCTCCATCCTGAGACCCAGCCCGTTCGCCAAGCCTAAAGTCCGCGGCTGACAGGAAAGCTTCTGCCACATTAAATCCGGGGATCCCGAAAAAGAAAGAACCGTTTCGCTGTAATAAACCCACAGGACAAGCCACCATCGCGCTCTAACGTCGGAGAAAAGACACGACCCGGTTTCTTCCCCGACTTCACAACATTTCCGCGTGGCACCAAAAGCGCACCCTCGCTGGCTCTCGCGCTAGCCCCGAGCACGGAAGCCGTCGTGGGGATGGGCGCTCCGCGGGCTCACCTTACACTCGGGAACGGTATTCCCGATGGCCTTCGTCGAGGAAAGGAAGGAGGAACTCGGATCGAGGCCCTCCCGGGGACCAGCGCAGTTTGAAAAGGAAGGAGAAGCAGGACGGTCGTGGCGGAGAAGTCCCGGTCAAAAGAGCGCCATGTCAGCGCAAAGGCTGTCCGTGGTCGCGGGTGAAAAGCGCAGCTGGAGGAAGCAGCTGCCCGAGCCTTGGCTCTTCGTCGGGGGCGAAAAGCCGAGCGAAAAAAGGAAGCCCCGCGCGCTGTCGCCTGTCAGGGGCCCGCGAGGACTTCGTTGCCCTCCAGCCGTGCGCCTACCCGCCCACACAGACAGAGACACCCGGGCGCGGGCGCGCTCGACTGGGCGCTCGACCCCGAGTGCCTCGCGCCTCCCTCCTCCCCGCCCACTCCTCGCTCGTTCCCCTGCCGCACTTTCGCCTCCCTCTCACTTCCTAGCTGGAAATTCCCACTGACGTTGCAAGAAGAGCGGAGAAGGAAAAATGAAAACGACCAGAAAGAAACAGCCGCCCCCGGGGAGGGCTGGAAGCCCAGAAAGGGCGGCGGCAGGGCTGCCGGAGTCTGCGGGGTGGAAATGGGCTGGGTAGGGCCCGAGTGTGCAACACTAGCGCTCGCGAGTTGATTACTCGGAAGTCAAGTTATCACAAGTGGGACTGTCTTCCTCCTTCCAAGGGCCCGTCATGACTGCGGCCGGAGATACTGCTTGGTGGCGATGATAGTGAAAATAACAGAAATAATAAAAGACATACGTTTTAATATTTTCTGATATCAGCCACCTCCAGCCAGGTGCCCTTCAGGCGTGTTGGACTTTACCTGCTCTGAATCCTGGCCGGTAACAGGTGAAGGCCGATGTCTTAGGAAGGCTGGGTGCTGACTCTGCCATGAAGAACTGCAAAGCTTTTCATGGATCATCAGTGGCTTATAGACCAAGAGCAGTCTTCCTCCCTTAGACCCTTTGCAATAATACTTGAAATTTAGCTCAGTTGCCTCCCATTTCTCTTTATTGTATTCAGACCCTTTACTCAGTACTTTGTTGAAGCACCTTTGTCAGCAATTACAGCCTCGAGTCTTTTTCGACAAGCTTTGCACACCTGGATTGGGGGATTTTCTGCCATTCTTCTTTGCAAATCCTCTCAAGCTCAATCAGGTTG